AAATTTCAAGGTCATTCACTTTTCCAGAACAATTATTTCATTTTTGAGAAAAATAAAACAAAACAAAAATGTATTTTCTTCAATATATTATGGATTTTCTTTTTGACATCGTGATTTTGCTCTTCATAATTCGATCCTGTGGGGGGGGTAATTACCCCCAGTACCCCCCCCCCCCCCCCGACGCGACGCCCCTGACCCGGACACGATGGAGTAACTGTTAAAGATCTTTTTAATAATAGGGAATCATCAGTAGACATTTTGACCAATCTAGTAAATAATGTCTTACAGAGTGGTGTGTTTCCAGAAACCTCAAAAATCAGCAAAATCACTCCTATAATATAAAACAGGAAACAAAAAAGCTATGACTAACTACAGGCCAATATCTGTACTAAGTGTGTTTTCAAAAATTATTGAAAACCTATTAAAAAAAAAAACGAATTTTATCTCATGTGCATAAGCAAGTATTTTTGGATGAGTACCAGTATGGTTTCCAAGAGAATAGTAGTACTTTGCTTTTGTGCTACAGCTGACTATGTCGATTATCTCTCTTAAGCACTGGACTCTAATAAGATAGTGACTGTAATATATGTAGATTTGAGAAAGGCGTTTGATGTGGTTATAATTACGGTAACTATGATCAGTCTAATCTAAAGTTTTCTAAAGGATAGAAAGCAGTATGTCAGGGTAAACAATACTAAAAGTGAGGTAAAAACAAATAACTTTGGTGTCTCCCAAGGCTCGGTTGTTGGACCACTACTGTACACCCTTTATGTGCTTAATTTACAATGTGCAAACCTCAAGGCACGTTATTTTACATCCGCGGATGACACTGCTTTGGTTTATATTGGGGATAATGCTGAACAACTTTGTGGGGAGATTAAAGATGACTTTAAAACATACATGAACTGGCTATATTCTAACAAACTAAAAATTAATCTTGACAAAACTAAATACCTATATGTTTTTTAAACAAAAAAAACAAACTTGCTGAAAATATAAATATTCAAATTAACAACACACAATTGGAGCAAGTTGCTAAGATAAAATATTTAGGACTAGTTGTGGATGATTAACTAAATTCGACTGATCATATATGCTCTGTGATTGATAAGATTATTCCTATGATAGCTGCAATGTATAAGTGTAGAAATTATTTAACGCAAAAGTCTAGATCTATGGTATACAATGCCTTCTTTCTATCCCATGTTAGGTACCTACTTGCTACCCATATGGGGCACATGTAGTCAAACTAATTTCGAGAAAGTACAAATGATACAAAATAAAGTATTGAAGGTATTTTATAATTATGATGGACTTACCAATACGGAAACGCTATATAGGGAATTAAATATGTGTAAAATTAATATCTTACTAGAAATTGAGCAATGTAAACTTATTTATATCCTACTGAACTATTACAACCATATAATACCTTGGTTACGATAATCATAAACAGGGTCTTAACTCCCTTGGGAGTTAAGAATATCAAAACTCCCAAGGGAGTTAAGGATTTCTATAACTCCCGCTTTTACCTTGAATAGGTAGAACTTTCAGAAAAAATAGAAATTTTGACAAAAAAGCTTTATTGAAAACTGCAATTCATCTTTTATTCTAAAAATCTATCAACTTCATTTTTATTATTACAAATAATAAATTTACAATTATCAAAATTGCCCTGGAAACTATTTCCATTGCTGCAATTTAATTTTTTTTCTGTATGGCTTTTGCTGTTACACATTTGAATTGATGTGCCTGCCTCTTCTGATCGTAAGGTAGAGAGCATCCGTGCCGTTTGATTTTTTAGCTCGATACTATCGGCTAAATATCCTTCCGCCACTGTGGAACTTTTCCAGCCTCCATGCCTTTTTAGGTTTGTCATAGTTGCACCTGCATCTGCTAGCGCAGTGGCAGAGGTGCGACGAAGACAGTGTCCCGTAAAAGAAGATGGGTCTGGCAATTTTAAATATGATGCAATTTTACTGGGAATTTTCCCGAATGTATTTTTCCCGATTGGCTGGGAGGTGCATCTATTTTGGCGGTAGCTCAAAAAAAATCTTCCGATACCCTTAGGTCGTAATGACATGTAAAATTTCAATAAAGGCAGAGCAACGAACTCATCCTCATCAACAATCGTGAATTTCCTTGGTATACCCGTTTTACTGTCTGGTATACTCACGACCATAACCTTGTCCCGGTCCTCTATATCACTTAGCTTCATATTAAGAAGTTCTTGAGTTCTGCACCCTCCAAAATATCCCATTATTAAAACTATCTGCAAAACAGGTAATGAATACATACACAAAGAAATATAGAAATTAGGTTATTTACCTTATTTAATAAATGCATGTCATTGGGGGCTTCTTTGAGGAACTTGGCGATATGCTGAGGGGACAATACCGCAGACTTTTTCGGTCTATAACCTTTGCTCTTTCGTTTCAAAAAGGCCTCCAATTCGTTGAATTTTTTAAAATCTTGTTTTTCGTGTATAGATAGCATGGATTTCAACATTGACCATTTAGTCCACAAGGAATTTGGACTAAAACTTTCTGACTGCAATAAATAAGGCACAATTACTTACTAAACAAAACATAATGGACAATAGTTACCGTACCATTTCTTGAAAATATGCCAAGAGAACAGTTTCGTCACTATTCTTTGCTGGGATACCTTTTTGTTCCAGCCAGTGGGTATATTTTCTATATTCTTTATTATATAGAGTCTCACTCTTGGCTGGGACCAACGTTTTTCTTGCTTCCTCGGCTTTTTTCATTATCTCGTCCATTATAATAAGCTTTTTGTTCACCAAAAACGCGTTTCAACGACAAAATGTGACCTTTATCAATTATAAATAACAAGCCATAGTTACAGTGCCTCTGCCATAGTAACAAACAATAGAACTTGTGTCATAGACAAAGCTAGTACCTACTACTTGTCTATGACTTGTTTGTACCAGCAAGGCACATAGAAACGCACCTGAATGCTCATATAGGTAGTCAATGGTTAATTTCTTTATAAAAATGGACAAAATAGGAGAAATTCAGTAGGATATAAAATTATCTATGTACCACGGGAATTATCAGGTGTTAATACCCATGGGCAATTGGTGTCCCTCGGGCCAAAGGCCCTCGGGACACAAACTTTGCCCTGGGGTATTAACACCCTCATAATTCCCTTGATACATAAATAACTATTACCGAACATTAAGCACCAAAAATGTAATTCTTATATAACTCTTATCAAATGAAGTACACACTATAATACTAGAATTGTAAACGATGTATACAGAATCCAAACTAGAACAAACAGGTTTGTATGACCCAGTCACTCAAGCCTCTCAAATATTTATTAATTTACCAACAATAATGAAAAACATGCATATAAGTCTTTTCTCAATCAGTTGAAGAAACATTTTATCTTGGGAACTTAGGGTAGAATGAATTTAGAATTTGTATTAGATTATTAGACTAAAACTTAGCATAAACACAGCTTAATTTTAAGGTATTTATTCTCGAGGCCAGTGCTTTAAGCACTGTTTAGGGAATCTTAAGAAAATATGTAGGTATTTATAAATGTTTATAATTTGTAATATAGGTATCTTGTTTCAGAAAAAAACTTCAACAAAAATGACTAAATAATCAATACTATCTTAAATAAGATACAAATCTCCTATACTTCTATAAATTGAGACGAGAGATACTTAAGTCAGAAAATATACGATGATGAAAACCCCTTATTAAATCACAATGTTCATGCTGACCCAGTCAGAGGTGACGCACTTGGAAAAAAAAAATAGTAGTTCTTGCTTGACTAAACTGGTTGGAGTAAAGAGGAAAATAAATCCTTTTACAGTAAAATCTCATCGGTTTCTGCAGTTCCTATAGACAGAATTAATACCAGTAGCTGAAAAAAGTCATGCAAGTAATACGCTTATGCCAGGTTGAGACGATCCAAGTGAGGCGCGCGCAGCGTCCAAGGGTCCTTAATTAAGATGGTCCAAGTGTACTAAGGTACACTTGGACCATGTCAACCTGGCTTTCAAGCCACGGTCCAAGTGCTTGGTGCAAGTGCACTTGGATGAGAAGTTAGTACACTTGGACCATGTCAACCTGGCTTTCAAGCCACAGTCCAAGTGCACTTGGATGAGAAGTTGGACCAGGTAAGTTGACAGCCAGCCTTCTTACATGGATGTTAGGACCTATCCAACTGGACTTGGATAAACAGTTGATACGATCCTAGTATCGTCTAAGTGAGGCGCGCGCAGCGTCCAAAGGTACTTAATCCAAGTACACTTGCACCGTGTCAACCTGGCTTAAGCTTGGATGATAACTTGGATCAAGTAAGTTGGCAGCCAGCATACTTACTTACTTGGATGTTAGAACCCATCCAACTGAACTTGAATAATATAGTTATTACAATCCAATTATCGTCCAAGTAAGATGCGCGCAGCATCCAAGGGTACTTCATCCAGGTACACTTGGACCGTGTCAACCTGGCTTTAACAATGCTGCTTCACTTCAAAAACACAATATATCTGAAAACTATGTAGGTAATCGTAAAAAGACTGACAAACTGTTTAATTTTTTTCAAGATTGAGTTCTTTTCTACCATGTTCTTGAATAGATGAGCATTATCGAATACACCCACACTCAAAGCTTTATTTTAATTTATCTGATCTACTTGATATTGCCCTTTGCGATACACATCCACTAGGTTAGCCAAGTATTATGAATTCAAAGTAAGCTTGATATCACATGCTATGAAAAGTGAATCGTCCTAGAAGGCTCCATAACATATTCACTTCACATAAAAACAACGGATTAATTTCTTTTAATGACATTCTTGCGCGATTTTACTCTGCACAAAAGTTAATAATTCAGCTCGCGTTTAGCCCCCGTTTCAATTCAGCCAAAAAGGTTTCTATTTCCGTGAATAAATATCTATAAAGTCCACTATGGCCATCATTTTATTATCATTCGGTTTTTTAATTGATGATCGACATAATGGTTCGTTCAAAATTATTAGTGATTGCGGCTTTTGTCGTTGTAGTTTCGGCATATGATCCTTCAGCAGTGGAAGTTGTTCAAAGTATTTACAACAGTTGTTTGCGAGATTTTTCAGTGAGTTGTGCGAAACCGAAAGCTCTACAATGGATTAGTGAAGTTGCTGATAAAAAAGAAATTAGGATTACTGAAGATTTAGTTTTGGTTAAAAAGGATATATCAATTAATGACATTGAGGTTTGATTATTTCTGAGTGACAATAACAATTTTTTATTAATGTATTTTACTATTTTAGAACGGACGTGGTCTCGAAGAAGATATTTTTGAAAACTTTGAAGACTTCCTACAAACACATGAATTAGTCGCCAAGCCGCCAGCACTTTTGAAACCTGAAGGACCATTGGGAGATTTACTCCCAAGATCTTTCCAAGCTGAAGAACTCAAAGTTCCTTTAGCCTCTACTGGTAAAATGAAGATACGTAATGTTTTGAAACAATATAAAGCATTGTTTTGTTTCAGGACGCTCATCGAAAATCGTCAAAAAAGTGATTCTCCCTTTCCTGTTGGGTCTTAAATTCAAGACTGCCGTTCTTGTACCTCTTGCCCTGGCGCTGATTGCTCTTAAAACATGGAAAGCTTTAACTTTGGGGCTTTTGTCTATGGTTCTTACTGGAGCATTACTTATTTTCAAGTTAACCAAACCAAAGGTAAAGAGAAGATGAGTTGAATTTGAAAAATATTCTAGGTTCTAGGAAGGTGTATGTTCCTGTACTAATTTAGCATTTGTTGCCAGAATAGCACATTTGATGATGTACCTACTTATATTTGTTTTAGACTGTGAGTTATGAAGTTCTTCACTATCCACAACACGTCGATCATATCGTGGACCATCCTCCAGTATCTGGCTGGGACCATCCTGCATACGCAAGACAATTTAATGGTCAAGAAATAGCCTATAACGCACACGTTTCTGAATAACTTGTTAATAATTTATTGTAAATAGAATATTTATTGAACATTATTTATATTACATAAGTTAATTAAAAAATCAGTTATTCAATTTTTTTGATGCATTTTAGTGAATCATTTAATTTACCAATCACATGGTAATGGTATAATAACTTAATAACTAGGTATTGGATAGCATTTTTACTGTATAAGTCGGTACCTGAGTTCCATTAAAAAGTTGTCTAGAAGGTTTGCATGTTCTAATAATTGTTTCCTTTAAATTATTTACATATAAACTGGGCACAATTCTGATTATGGATACGTAATGCTATTCAAAGCATACTCTAATTTTTATTAGACATAACAATTTCCAGAATTATTTATAATGCAAATGTGAACCAATTATGTAAAATACATAACAAAAATAATAATACGTTAAGAAGCTTTCCTGATAATTTTTGCTATGATTTCACATGCTAGGGAAAAAATGTGTTCTTTTTTTTTTGAATGACATCGAAAGCGTCTTTTCAGTGACACTTGACTGGCTTAAAAGGTGTATTTCTACTGCCTAAGCAGAAAATGTGCACCCTTTCTACCCAGGCAAAAAAAGTTCCAGCAAGCATTCCAGGTAATAATTCAAATTGAACTGGTAATTAAAATTGACAAGGATATCAGGTGGAGAAAAATGATCGCGCTAGGTCTCTTATCCCAGGTGCTGTGAATGGTAATAGCTCATCCGCACTTTCAATTAGATCCATTCTGGAAAGCTACTTGACAATTTTTTAAGATTGACAATGACATTCAGGTAAACACAAAAAATTCAACAAATGGCATCAGCGCAAATATTCAATTATTTTTTGTACTTTCCAAGTGTTTTTGTACTTTTTTGGAGGAAAGTTGCTACTCTAGATTATTCATACAAAAAATATTCTCTTCAATGGCGAATACAAGAAAATGGAAGATCAGATAAAGCAGGTGCGCGATTTGATTTATTGAAATATTTGGAAAAAGAAAAAGAAGAAGAACTGGCTTAAGAAAATTTTGCGAAACCGAGAAGGCTAGACGACTGACAGGCGTGCGAAAGAGCAAAAGGAAAAACTAGAATATTTTGCAAGAACCAGAAGACAGGCGATTGGAATAATAAAACAGGAGGAGCGGGAACAAAGAGTGAGACAGGAAGATGTTGAACAGGGTCGTTGAATTGAATAATTATTAGGCAGCTGTGGCGCAAGATGACAATTTCACCCGTAATTTGGAAAAGTCCAAATGGAAAAGTCTAGTATATCAGACCGTTGTGTCACGAACCAAGATATTTAGAGAGCTATGAAAATGATAGGACATTGGCCCAAGTAAGAGATCGATATTACCAGATCAGATGTCGTAGGGATGTTGAAAAATGATGCTTTTGTGCTTTTTGACGAAACAGTGCCTCTCCAAACTTGTAACTAGATTTTGCAATAAACTGAAACTTGATACATAGTGTGCACCTTCCAGAATGCTTTCTGGTAGGGGAGAGTGTGGGAATATCGACTACTCAAGCGCTGTTCAAAACTTCAAGTAGTAATCTTTGTGATAAGATGTCCAAAATGAGAAAATTGATGGTTTACTTCATCTATTATAAGTTTTTTCAATTGCGTATGCAATCAAACAAATGTTTTTTTTAGAAAATATGTTTTTAGAAATAGGAGAAAAAGTGGGGTAATTTCGACCGGTAGGATAATATCGACAATGGTAAAGGGCAAAATCGACCAAACAGTAATATTTGGAAATTAATTTAATTTAAACGTTTTCACATTGAGTATAGGTCACAAGTATACACAGACGCTTTTTCAGCGTTAGTACAGTCCTTATGGGCCCAAGTTGCACAAGAACGGCATCTCCACCAAATGTCATTATCATATCCAAATTGTTCACAAATAGTGCAGATATCATCACCTTTTTTCTTTTTTCCAACTGGCGTTTAACCTCTACCTGTAATTTTTTTTGTAAATTTCTTTAATTTTTCATCTTCCTCCTTTTTTTACTTTTTAGATGCCTTATTTTCAAGCTCTTTTTTTAATGGAGTGGATGTTAATGTTTGAGAATGTTGCCTTTTTCGCTGTGAAGTTATTGGTTGAAAAATTGGAGCTGGACATAAGTCTCGAAAAGAGGTATTTGTCTTTTTTTTTTCTTCAATTTTTAGGGTTTTAACATTATCATCGCTTAAGTTATCTTCAACACATTCTTCCAAACTAAATTCAGAATCAGAAGAATTTGATGACAATCTATTACGTAATATGTGCAAACTGCCTGGAACAATTCTACTTGGTCCTGGTTCTAGAGAAGGAGTTTTATGTCTGGGTGCTATTTGTTCTCAAATACCCTGCGGTGTTTGTCAAGTCAATGGTGAATCTTTTGTCGATCTTCCTGGTATAATCCATTTGGTCCTGGTTCTGGAGAAGGAGTCTTATGTTTGCGTTCTGTTGGTTCTGAAATACCCTGGGGTGTTTGTTCAGTCAATGGTAAATCTTCTGGAGTCTTTGTACTTGGCGGATCTTCATTATCCTCATAGATAGGTATAAAGTCTTCCTCACAAAACGCATCACGATTGATTGGAAATATTCCGGCAGTTTTCAATTCGTTTAAAGCCTTCTCTATCGTGGTGACCCTATTGTAAGCATTTCCAAAAAGTTCAGCTATATTAGTGTTTTTAATTTTTTCATAATTTCTACTTTTCATGAACTTGTCACATTCTTGCTGGTAGGCAGTCTTTAGAGGCTTAAAGTAAGTTACATTTAGAGGCTGTATTCTGTGAGAGGTGTGGGGTGGAAGTGATAGTAAATTAAAGCCAGAATTTGGACAAAAATTGTACGAAGCTAAAGAGGAATGAGTGAAATGATTATCCACTATAAGAAGAATAGGTTGCTCTGGAGTGGCATTAGCATAGGTAATTTGCAAAGTGTTGCAACCATTCAGTGAACAGCTCTTCTGTGATCCATCCAGATTTGGAATATTTATATATCGTGCCTGCGGATCCTTTTTTTTTCTAAACCATCTTTCATTATCATTCTCTTGAAAATAAACATTGCCCTGATGCACTAAAGCAGCATACTATCGTAGTATTTTGTCCCCTTTCTCCACTTGTTATCATGCCAACTTGTTATTCGCCTTGTTTTGCCAATATACGACCAGGATTGTGAACATTGGATATACCTTTTTCGTCAACGTTGTATATGCGGTGAACTTCAAAATGATATTTTTGTAATAGTGACTTTAGATTATTGAAAAAAATACTCATTTCGTTTTTATTGAATGCGGTAACTCTGCTGAGGCTAGTGGCTTCCGCATTACGAAAACTAAACTGCGGATAACGTCGCTTAAAGGAATAGAGCCAATCCTTGCCACACATTCCTTTATCTATATTGAAATTATGTGGTATTTTATTTTTCTTTGCATATTTGAACACCAACGTGCGTATGCTTTGAGCAGTCAATCCATAAAATAGTTTCGACAGTTTCAATATAGTCTGAACAATTTCGTTTTCCTGATCTTCGATCTTCGGAAAAATTAGGTTTTCTTCCCAACGTTAGTTTTTTTGGTTGGAATCTATCTCTTAGTCTATCTTGGAGTGTGCCATATGGAACGTCAAACGTTTTAGCGGCACTCCTAATAGATAATGTTTATTGTCTCGCGGCCTTTATCGCTGTATTCATAAAATCCTCGGTCCGCGAAGAACGTCCAGTTTTTCGGACGTATGTTCGAGGCATCTGGAATGAAATTTTGTTATAATGTTACATACATACATATACATACATGCTTCCATTATTACACAGTTCACTTAATATACCTATTGCTAATTACGCCCTACCTAGTTGTGAAGTGTAATATCGGCCACTAGGGGGTAACATCGATCACTGGCGGGTAATATCGACCAGCGTGATCCAATTTTACCCGAACCAGTACATTTAACCTAAATTTTTTTTTTTACGAAAAATATAGGTTAAAAATTCTTCAGATTAGACCCAAATTATGGGAAAATAACCGCTGTATCCTAGGAACGTGAAATGGAATGCATTTGGAAATTAGTGAAGGGTTCCTACCTTAATAAGAGCAGCAGAATTTTTATAAAAAAAAGTCTACACATGAGCAAAACTGACAACATGCACACAGGATGAGTGATGGCACCATACTCACCGCATAAATTTGACACATTACGAGCCATCTCTCGGCCAATAGGTACCTACACTTCGTTCGGATAATGCCAAGTTTATGAGTTTTGAAACTGGTCGAACTTGCCCGACGGTCGATATTCCCCCACTCTCCCCTACATGTTTTTCGCCCTTCGAGCGTTCTACATGATTATACTCCAATTCAATCTATAATAATAGTTGAATTTAATCGACATTCTTTGACAGACACTCGTTACTTTGAAAAAAAATATTTTATTACCATAGCAACCCTGCCTGGCGTGGAAACCAATGCGAACAAATTCACAACAAATTCGATCGTCCTTTACGGCTACCAGAAATGATTGCAATCATAATATAACCAACAAGGCTGAGGAGTTACATAACCAACAATTGCGTAGTCGACTTTTGGACTACCCGAGTGGACCAAGGTCCTTTTGGTCTTTTGCCAAAAACATAAGAAACAATTTCACATCTTCTCCCTTTCCACTTTTAGTTAAGGATAAAAATTCCATTTAGTATCGTCAAAGGAAAAACAAAAGAATAATTTGTATCCGATTCCACAATGAAGTACAATGGCGGAGCTCCAGAGGTTGTATCAAGACCTTAAACTATTAGGAAAATTCTTCTGCGACTTGACAAAGGGGAAATCTTGTGGTCTCGAGGATATTCCACCAATTGTCCTCAAAACTATCGCATAAGAATTGACTTCAGTTCTTTGCAAGCTGTTTTCACTCTATTACAGTCTATGATTACCCCAAGATATTTAACTTCGTCCGACATCGTAACTGGGTTTCCCTGAAGGTAAAGAGGTCCAAGTCCCTCCATTTTCCTTCTTTTGGTAAAGGGGGCAATTGTCGATTGGTGGCACTAATTTTCAACCCTACCCTACCTACCCTTTCTGTCCACCTAAAGACCATTTTTAGAGCCTGATACATGCGATCTCTAACTGTATGGTTGGATTTTCCCTGGGATATTATGACCAAGTCATCTGCATATCCCACTACTTGATGGTTGTTGCTCTTCAGTAGCCCTATCAGCTCGTCCATCACCAGATTCCACAGCAGGGGTGATAACACTCCGCTTTGCGGACATCCCTTTGCAACCCGAGCCGTTAATTCTCACTTAGGAGGGTTTTAATTCTCACTTAATTTCTTTTGTCAGAAATAAGTTGCAAGTTTTATTACCCCGTTACACTACAGCAAGAAATGTAACTGAGCTAGCGTACCTATTTCTATATTTTTCTTCAAAACTTCCGAAATAATTAACTTGCAAGTTCGGTTTCTGAGCCCTTATGACATTTGAACTGACTACACTCAAAGAATGTTTTGATATAGAATGACATTTGATAGTCAATTTCTCTGCCATCAACTGACGAGTGTTCGGCTACAAAGCATCTTAAAGCTCACTAAAAATGTATTGTTCTAGGAGGCACTAATGCCTGTTTACACCAACCATTTTTAAGAAGCCTAAGCGATAACGATAAATGACATTTTTACATGGGAAAATGTCAGTTTAAGTAATTCTTTACTTAAACTGACATTTTCCCATGTAAAAATGTCATTTCAAGAAATACTTGTCGTTAAGGCTTCCCTAAAATGGTTGGTGGAAACGGCCATGAGAGCATCAACCATGCTGGGTAGAAGATACTTCATGCGCGATATGATTGTGATGGGGAAAAATTCTTCCAGTCATAGGTTTAGACGAATTAACAATACTGAGGTCTCTGAGCTAACTAAATAAAGCCAATAAATAAGGAACCAAAAATTCGACAATTTTTTTATCGTCACCTTCAGAGCACAAATTACAAATATTGCATTCTACTAGAAGTCCTGAACATTGCCTTATGAATGATTGGAAGAAGGTTCTATTCTCAAACTAGGGTCAATCAGAATTATCCTAACGGAGATTTGTTTGGCCAATGCAATGCAATGTTTTGCGGAGAAATTTGTTTTCTGCGGTCATAAAGAGTAGTTTGCTGAACCTGTGAGATTGATAAACGCGAATTTTTATCTTGAATTTATAAGTATTGTTTTGACAGGCAGTGATATTCCATTTATGGAATGGTCACCTTATCAAGCCGATCTACAGGGTGTCCCACAATCAGCGTTACAGGCCATAACTTTCTCATTTTCAGAAATAATAATTTGAAACAAAAAAAAAATAATAATGGCTAGTTCAGCTGTCTTCAAAAATATAAAAAAATCTTTCCCTGACAAAATCATCCCCTATTTACAACCCTTGACTTTTTTTTTTCAAATGGCACCCCTATATTTTTTTTTTATTTTTGAGAAGCTCATGAAATTACAACTTCAATGTTGTTTAAAAAGTTTGCTTTTCCATATCTTTTGGGAGAAAAAAAATGGATGTTTCACCATTAGCCTTACACAGGCGACGACTTTCTTGTCTACAAAAATACAAATATAACAAAAAAAATTAACTGTGTGCAAATTAATCCCTCTTTAAAAATATAAAAAAAATCTTCCCTAGCAAACTCATCCCCTTAAAACAACTCTTGCCTTTTTTTTTCAAATAGAATTCCATTTTAATTATTTTCATTTTTGAATTTTTTTTCCTAGGAAACATGGAAAAACAAACTTTTCATACATCATTGAATTTGCAATTTCATGAGCTTCTCAAAAATAAAAATAAATAATAGGGGTGCCATTTGAAAAAAACAAGTCAAGGGTTGTAAATAGGGGATGATTTTGTCAGGGGAAGATTTTTTTATATTTTTGGAAAGAGGTTAACTAAAAATTAGTCATTTTTTTTGTTTCAAATTTTTTTTTCTAAAAATAAGAAAGTTATGGTCTGTAAAGCTGATTGTGGGACACCCTGTATATTCAATGGAGAATCTTGGCACTATCTTAAGAGTAAATTATTGGCGGATGCTGTAATTGGACATTATTTGTAAATATTATTCAGGAAATTATTAAACAAATTATTCTCAACAAGCCAATGCGGTAAATAAGAGTCGTAGAAAGCATACACGATATTAGTGAAACGTTGAAAAAAGTTAAATCGCTACGATTTGATGGGCTGCTAGAATAATTATTATGTGTTTCTCTCTCATTGAAATGGTTGCTTTATTGCTCCCATTAAAACCCATAATTTTATCATTTGTTTTATCTTAGAAGTAATAACCTCCTATGCTCAAAAATTCAATTAGGTACCAAGTTGATTTGCATGATCTTTTCTCGATTTAATTTGGTATTTTCTTTTCGTTACATGAAGAAACTTCTTTCAGGCAATTTATCCGTATTTCTTTCAAGATTTTTTTTCTTCTCCTGTTTGGCTTGTTGAATAGATTTCATAAGGTAGGGTCATTTATTTTAATGTGCAACTGCAAATTTTCATTTTCAACAATCAAATAATTCTCTACATCAACCACTGTCTAAAAGTCGCAATTTTATCAATAAAAAGCGCTGTATTTAATTTTGGTATCTGAAAAGGTGAAAGTGTTTCTTTTTCCAATAAATTTCGTTCCCATTTCCTTCAATAGGATATGAATGAATAGGCACCATTTCCCAAATAAATCTTTGTAATACATATACTCAGTATCGACATTATTATAGCACCTTAAAAAAATTAAGCAATTCAACTTTATTACATCTGGGTCGCATTTAGGCACATACATACCACAATTCTTAATTAAGAATTTTGATTTCTACTTCCGTTTGAATAGTCTATAAAACTTCTTGCATATCAATGTAGTAGTCATTCAAATAAAATAAATTGTGATAACAACAGCTGGTCATACCTCTTTTAATAATTAATTATTTAATAATATAATAGTAATGTGGGGGTTGAAATTTTTAATAATATTCGTAGTGGCAAATGGGTCTCTATCAGATCCTTCGGCAGTAGACGTTTTAAAAGATATGTACCATTCTTGTATTAAAGATTTTTCAGTAGGTTGTGTTAGACCCAAAGCTTTATGGTGGATTAATTACGTGTCGGACAAAAATAACATCAAGTTAACCGATGACTTGGTACTAGTCAAAAACGAGCAAGTTAATGAACAGGTAAATAAAACTTTGTACTACTGCCTTACCTTACCGGAAGTTTTTAACTAGTTTTAATTGTATCGTGGGTAGGCATAGAATTTTGTGAAAAACGTTTTACATAAAATGATAAATGCATAGGTAATCGTTAATTGGAAACGCTCAATTAGAATGTAAATATTAAGAATAATAACTACTTGCAATATGTAAAATCAATTTTATACAATAATTTGAACAATAATTATTAATACAATAATTAATATCAATTTTCAGGATCGTTCATTTGAAAAGAACAACATCCTGGATCGTTTTGACAATTTCTTGCTCGGGCATAACCTTATTGCTAAGGTTCCTTCTGTGTTGAGCTCAGATGGACCATTAACAAGCCTCGTTCCTAGAAGCTTTCTTCAATCGCAACCTATTGAAGTACCACTCTCAGCTACTGGTAGGCCAACCATATTTCTTATTGACAATACTAAAACTTCATTGTTTTCAAGGTCGGTCGTCTAAAATTGTGAAAAAAGTCATATTCCCATTTCTGTTGGGACTGAAATTCAAAACGGCAGTACTTGTGCCGCTTGCACTAGGCCTAATCGCTCTCAAAACATGGAAAGCATTGACTTTAGGACTTATTTCTCTGGTACTAACTGGGGCTGTAGCAATTTTCTCCAAGTTCGTCAAACCTCCAGTGAGTAAGCTATATAAAAATTAACTTCTCCATAATAGGTGATTTATTCCTGCAGCAATATGAAGTTGTCCACTACCCTCACATTGACGCCCACCATATTGACTATATAAGTCCCCAAATAGTGCAACAACTACCAGTTGTAGCTCCAGCACCTGTTTATGGAGCTCCAGCATCTGTTTATGGCGCTCCAGTTTACAGACACAAGAGGGCAGCTGCTGAGATGGCTTACCGAGGGCAACAATAAAATTGTTGGTTCGTACTGAAGAAATTTTAATTTATTAATTTATTGTTAATTTTTAATTGAATAAAGCTAAATGATTTTGATTTTTTTTTTTTTTTTTTGAAGTTGGTATATATTGACTTATAAGATACATACATGTGTGCCGAGAATATTTGTCGCCCCAAATGAAATTTTGAATTAAAAGCATCATTAAATTTGCGTATCATACATGATGAGACAAATTAATTGTTTCAAAACAAAGTCGTTGCATTAAAACTTTACAATGATGACCACTTTTAATAAATTCAACTTTCAATAACAGTATTGAATTACTAAAAAAGGTATCAAGAAACACCGGTATTGAGAAAGTCAAGAGATAATAACTAATTTTCCCATGACATGAAATCGATTTTATTTGACATTGTGAAGCAAATTATTTAAATAATGTTTTCGAGATCGAGCAAGTGGATATTTTAATTATCTACGGACAATGCGGAAAAAAACGCATCGGCGGCACACGTTTATAGAAAAAGAATTTCCGGATCGCTCCAATTACTCCGTTTAACGATTACCTTTCTTCAGCGCCACAAAAGCAATCTATCGCCCCTCTACAAAAGGTCCAAGTCCCCTTATACCTTGATATGGGACTCAACTCTCAGAATGTAGCTTCTATCAGGTCCTGATGGAAAGAGTATTTTCAAGAGCTCCTAAAAAAAGTGTCTCACGTAGATTGTTATTCGACTGCCGACCATATTTTTGAGGCATTTTCGGACGCCGTTAAGTTTTATTCTTTTTTTTTTTGGTATCCATGTTTAGGGACTCTAGACAATGTATGTTGGTTTAATTAATTCAAGCTCTAGTCTAGAAGATTGTGTTGCTGTACCATACTGTTTCATTGGAGGAACACACCCTTTATATACCGAACGGAAATCTAGAATAAACCCTTTATGTAACAAACGAAGGGAATCAATGAAACAATTGTATTGAGAAAGACAGATTTGTATATCGCATGTTAAAGAAAAGTTGTAAAAAGAATAAAATCTATACCAAAAATGCAACATCAGAAGTGGGATACCTCTTTGTGTAGTGATCAAAAGAGGAAAGAACCTTAAAACAGTGTCTTTTATCCGCGTCTTGATTTGGAATAAAAATGGCAGACGTCGGCGACGGTGAACAGCCCGATTGTGAACGCCCAAATAGCCCATCTATTACCAGCGGTAGTGAAAGTGCATCAATGAACAATCAAATGATGTTGCTGTTTAAAATGCAACAAGAAAATAATAGCAATTTCCAAAATCAAATAATGCAGATTCTATCCACAATGGCCAATGCCCAAATTACTCAAGCCGAAGCGGCACTGCAATTGACAATGGCAAATGCGAAGACGCAGGATCAGTCCTCTGCTACGACTGCCCCCGACGTTATTGCAGTGGCATCGTCGGAAATTCGTTTGACAAGTTTTGATCCTGGGGTCGTATTTTCGAATATTCTCGCATACGAAATTTGATACGATTTCGAATGCTCCCCATTTGATTTACATTGCTGTCAAACAAATTTCGTGTACGAAATGTACCTACTCGAATGAATTCGAAAATACGACCCCAGATGACACTCCATTTACTATGGTTGAGTTGATGAATGACGTAACCAGAATTCAACGTGAGCTTTCAATATCTGACACCTTAATTGTTTTGAAAGCGGGACAAGGTCTTCAAGACCGAGCGGCCCGATTTTATCAACACTGGAAATCGATTATTAGAAATTGGGCTTCTTTCTGTCAAGACTTTAAGGTAGCATTTCCTAAACAAGGTACACCTGCTACTCGAATACGTGCATGTCTATCAATTACCAGTTCAAATTTTGACTCGTTAGTAGAGTATGGAAATGCCAAACTTACGTCAATAAGGTGATTTTATGCCGATTTTCTTTGGAACACAATCCTTAGCGTTGTCGAATATGATATTCAAAACGTAGAAGTGAGAAGCAGGATTTGTTTGCAATCCCCCGAAAATGATGCTGAATTGCTAAAACTGTAGCTGCTTGTGATACTGGCAGGCTAAACGAAGGTGACCGCATGCGTGAGTTGACACAATTGACACGAAAAAGGGCAAACAATTTCCGTGACGTACACCCTGGTTTTCAAGGTAAGTGTCACCGTTATGGGCATAAGCAGATTGACTGCAAGCAAGAGATAAAATTATGTGTATCCAGCCCTGATAAGTTTTCTCCAGGACCTTTTGGAGTAAAATCCAACATTTTACCACTCGATCAGAAAAAATCGAATGTAAAAACCTGTACCTATTGTCAAAAGAAAGGTCATACGGAAGATGTCTGTTATCGCATGCATGGATTTCCGAAAAGAGTAATGCTGACGTAAAATACCCGTTTGACACTCATTGCCTTCAGCTACACTGACAAATAACAATTCGGTTAGCTCTGTAACTTATTTGATGGACACGGGCGCAGATAATATTGCACGAGAAAATAGCCAAGAAATTAAATTTGGAAATTCAACCGGATACTCAATTTTTAATTCAAATGGGGAATTGCAAAATGAAATCCATTGGTCGCAGCACAGCTTTGATGAAGTGGATGAAAACAGTGTGTATATTGTGTATGATCCGCTTTGTATGTCCCGTATTTATACAGTACGCACATTCGATGAAAAAGAATTAAATTTGTCAGGATTAAACGAGCGATTGTGCAATGATGTAAAAACACTGCTTCAAAGGGCAACAAATCAAACACCGCCCGCTGTAACAACTGGCAAGCTAAAGATAACATTGAGTGATTCACAGCCGGTCGCTTATAAGCCTCGCTACTTATCATATGGAGAAAGATTGCAAGTTAAACAAATCATAAAGGAACAACATTGCAATTTAAACAAATCATAAAGGAGCAACTTGAGCCGGGAATAATTCGGGCAAGTGAATCTGAATACGCTAGCCCGATCGTCCTTGTTAAAAAAAGAAATGGAGATACAAGGTCGTGTGTGGATTTTCGCGACGTGAACAAAAGGGTAGTGCGCAACAATTAGGTACCCATTGCCTCGCACACAAGATCAGATTGATGCACTTGCGAAAGCTGTTTATTTTTGCACACTTGACATGAAATCGGGATTCCACCAAATTGAAATCGAAGAAGATTTTAAACATATTACTATGCCTTTGTGACACCAGACGGATTATACGAATATAACCGCATGCCATTCGGTTTTGTCAACTCTCCTTCATGTTATCAAAGTGCCATTGATAAAGCTCTCGGACCGCTGAAAGATGATATTGCTTTTTTGTTTATGTTGACAACGTGTTATGCCCCGCGCGCACTATTGAGGAGGGCCTCAGTAACTTACGGCAGGTCGTCGATACTCTGTCAAAAGCCGGATTTGTATTGAACTTGGCAGTGTTGTTTGAATTTACAGCTCGCGAAAAGTAAAAGCCCTCGCATAAAGTGTCGCTCCTACAGATGTAAAGGCTGTTCGGCAGTTCTTAGGACTCGCTGGGTATTTCAGACGTTTCATAAAGAACTTTGCTAGCTTAACTGCACCAATTTCCAAGTTGTTGTGTAAGAGACAGCCTTTTATGTGGACAAAAGAATGCGAAAATATTGGTTTGGACTTGGTGAAAGGATTAACAGAATATCCAATCTTTCATCCATTTTCAATCCAGATTTATATACAGAGTTGCATACGGACGCAAGTTCCATAGGCTTGGGTGCAATGTTAATGCAAAAAGATTTGAATAATATTCTTCATCCCGTGGCCTATTATAGTCGACGCACCACTAATTGTGAATCGCGTTATCACTCATACGATTTAGAAACGCTAGCAATAGTAGAAGCAAAGTTTGTAGAAGCCACACAGTACTTTCGCGTTTATCTGTATGGAATAAAATTTACAATTTATACAGACTGTGATTCTGTGAGTGCCCCAGCTCTAAAAAAAAGAACTGCATCCTCGTGTTGCAAGGTGGTGGATTAAACTACAGGACTTTAATTTTGATATTGGATATAGACAGGGCTGCAGAATAGCTCACGTTGACTATCTTAGTCGTAATCCGGTCCCGTTAGTAAAAATTTTAGTAACACATGCTGCTTTCTCAAATAGGTAAACCAAACAAAACAATTAAAGACTATCAAGCAAAAGACGCATTTTGTTAGTCTATAATGAACAACACGCATAGTGAGTCAGGTTATACAGTCAAGAACAATTTGGTGTTTTTACTAAGTCCTAGTGGTGGAATAAATCATTGTTTTGTTCCAATATCAGCACGACTGGCCATTATGCGACTATATCATGATGACTCATCTCATATAGGTGCCGACAAAATGTTGTTGAAGTTGCGAGAATATTTGACATGGCCACGCATGGGAAAAAAAGTCCAGAAATATGTTGCAAACTGCCGATCTTGTGTCTTGGGAAAATTCTCCAATGGTAAAAAGAGCGGCATATGTCAGCAAAAGCCGAAACCATCGACAAAAATGGATACATGGCATATTAATCACGCTGGACCGTTGGTTAAATCGAAAGAATGCACCCAAGTATTAGTCCTAATAGATGCTTTAAAAAAATTTATACGATTTTGTCCTATCAAGCAAAAGACTACCGAGTGTAGTATAACAGCCCTCAGCAGTATTTGATGAGCTGGGCACACCCAAACGCATTTCAGGCTAAAAAATTTGAAAAGTTTATGGCAGAAAAATCAATCGACTTTCACTTTATCGCAACAGGAGTTCCACGAAGTAATGGTCAAGTGGAGCGTGTGATGCGTACTTTGTTTAATGCTCTACGAGCTTTACTAAACGATAAAGATGAAAAGAATTAGACACGAGTACTTCCTGATATCGAAGATGATTTTAATGTCACCATCAACAAATCAACTGGGTGTGCTCCATGGGTCTTGACACAGGCCACCGACAAGCTGCAGATATGCTACCCCAAAGTGAGGTCATTGATATCGAGCAAGTACGAAAAGAAGTTAATAAACGCTGCCAGAAAATCACCGCACAGGCAATAGATAACTTCTATAAAAGCGAGCTCAGGCAGTACCCTATGCTGTGGGTGATAAAGTAGCCATAGAAAATAGTCAATTGGCATTTGGTGGAAAATTGAAGCCGAAATTTCAAGGTGCTTTTGAGGTTACACATTGTTTGCCTAATGAGAGGTATGCGCTAAGACGAGTCGGCAGTCGAAGCAGGACTACAGTAGCAGCGCATGAGCAGT